CGGAAATTATAATTTTTTTAGGTTATTGAATTTTGATTTATAATTAAAATGATGTACTGAATCATTTTTCAAACATTCAAAAATAAGAGCAAACAGCCTGAGATAAATGTTTGAGATACTTAGCTGACTAACATCTACTTACCGTTCAACTCAGAGATATTTCATGCCCACACTCGTGTTTGTCAGATGTATTCGAAACGATGTACTTATTCAGTAGTATCTTGCACAAAAGGTATATAGAGATTATAAAATTATTTATGTATTAATTTCCATCATGAAAGCACGAATTCTTTCGTATCATTTTACTAAGATATGGTTTAAATTATCCACTGCTAGTTTGAATTTATTTATGACCTTGAATTTGTATCAGGCTCATGTGTATCGCTAATAAAGGTCGCTAGATATGATTTTTAACGATGCTGACTAACTGACTGACTTAGAATATGGTTGAGCCACAGGCTTACCATCCGAAGTATCTGTGGTTTCGGATGTGTGGGCTCCCTGTGGTCTCTTATGGCGTTCGCCCGTTAATAAAATTTTGAATTATCGAGTGATTTCAGCTTATCAAAAATACATCTTCTGAAGACTTCCTAAGAATTAAATGCCGTCAAAATAAAGTTTAATCATTCACTTCATGAAATTTGAGTGTTATTTCTTCGTCCGATGCGTTTTAAGGCCGGTTTTTGGCGTTTAGCGTGAGCTATGTTTGTGTGTGTGAGAGAGGAGAAGAAAGGGGAAGGCAGGCAACAAAACTCGACCACCGCTCGATCTAGCCCATCAGAATTCAAATCCAAGAAAAATCTCACACAAAAAATACCACGGCACGATCGAAGAGATCCTAAGCTATACCTCAGCAGAGTTTCACGCTYATAGACAAATTCTTTCTATCAGAAAAGGCAGGATTTTCGACCTTTTTCGCCGCCGTAAAAGGATAGAGGACTCACTCGAGACGGAAGGAATTCGAAATATGCAGACTAGTTTGAATCAGCCAATCAGCGCTTCGCTCATATCAATGCATCGATTACGCTGTCTACCGGGGAGAGGAGAATTTGCTCCTCCGCTCCAAACAACGGAAAAGAATCTGCATATTTCGAATTCCTTCCGTCTCGAGTGAGTCCTCTATCCTTTTACGGCGGCGAAAAAGGTCGAAAATCCTGCCTTTTCTGATAGAAAGAATTTGTCTATGAGCGTGAAACTCTGCTGAGGTATAGCTTAGGATCTCTTCGATCGTGCCGTGGTATTTTTTCACGCTAAACGCCAAAAACCGGCCTTAAAACGCATCGGACGAAGAAATAACACTCAAATTTCATGAAGTGAATGATTAAACTTTATTTTGACGGCATTTAATTCTTAGGAAGTCTTCAGAAGATGTATTTTTGATAAGCTGAAATCACTCGATAATTCAAAATTTTATTAACGGGCGAACGCCATAAGAGACCACAGGGAGCCCACACATCCGAAACCACAGATACTTCGGATGGTAAGCCTGTGGTTGAGCGTAACGTAAACGCCATTATATACGCATTTAATAGTTTTTAGAAATGGAAATACAGGTATATGTATACAAGAAAATGTGCGCATTTTGTATCATACTGAAAATTTTCAACGATAATTTGCAAAAACTTCGATGTTATC